AAACGGCAAGAAGGCTTGAGTGAGGAAACAAAATTTCGAGCGATTTCTAAGTGGCTGAATGCAGGATGCAACGTGTGTGATGTGGATGAAAGGGCAAAGGATGCAGGCTTTCTAATCAAACACGCCAATCGTTTCAGTTATGCTAGGAATAGTCGCATTTATCGTTATTGTCTCCCTTTGCGTGGATTCTAGTGAGAGAGTTATGCTGTTTAAAACAAACTTGATGCATCTGCTTTTTTCCATGCCTCCTTTCACATATTGTCTCACATCATGGTTTTCTGCTTCATACTCACCACTCTTATCATCAGTTAGTAAAAATCTGTGGATTTAAAATTGTGAAGTACTTTATTATTCATTTTCATTATTCATTTATTCTGGAGCCGTGATACTGTCAACCTAAGAAACGTAGGGTTCTAGGTTTTTTTTAATGCCACAATAGGTTACAGGCACAGAAGTACGGTTTATTGTTTGAGTGCAGAGTTTCACCGAAGCTGTAGACTACATGTCTTCTCTGGTTCTTTGACTTTGTATCAGGTAAGAGAATAAGGGGTTTTTTGTCTTTTCAATGGAAGGAATGAAAAATCATAGACATGGAAATAAGCCCATCGAGGTGCAAAGGACACTGTACAGTTAGATTTTTAGTCGGGTTTTTAGGAATGTCTATTTCAAACGTTTACATAGTATAAGAAAACATTTTTTGAAATCTCATCAATTCTGCTACCCACTTGTGGTCTATTTAAGAAAAGTAATTGCTTCACGATAACTCCAGCCATTTTAAGATCCGATATGAGACTCACGCGTCTGAAAGTAAGATTAAGTTGGCGCAAGTTTCGACTTATCAAAAACGATAATCCGCTTGCGTAGTCTTCAGCCTAATGCATTCCCGAAGTATCCGATTTTACGTACTATCCTAGAGAGCTGGTAGAATTACGATGGTTAGCTTGTTTGCATTATTTCGGTGCAGCCTAATACACCTACCCAGGAGAATAGAAGGAAAATGGTCTTGTTTATCTGCCCCATGTGGTAAAATTCTTACTTTATGACACGGATTTGGTTCCATCATCTATCTATGGCTCCAGTCG